ATTGTCTCAATAATTTTTTTAATACAAACTATTTTCAACTACATTAAAACATAACAATTGACAGATTATAACATTTGTAACATAATGGTTACTTTATCAAGTGTTCAAAATGTGCTCCATTTGTTAATTTTACAGTACCCTAATCGATGGTAGAATGCGTTTACCACATTTCTCCATGATTGTTTTATTTATTTAAGACCTTCCAGACTACATAAAATTATAAGTTTTACATATGTTTAAACTCGTATTGAATAGGAGATTCCAATAATGACTGAATATATAGGGTGATGAATTTGAAAAACCAAAGTGACTAATAATATAAGAGAAACGGCAAATCTGACAACATTGCAAATATCATATCTGATTTCTCCGTATCCCAAAATAGGTGTAACCCAAATTTTGTTTAAATAGGATTAGCAATTTACGAGATAATTGGCCGTTTCCAGACTTTTGGGCCACTCCGTATACGTATACAGTTTTAGACGTAGATAAATATTTAAAACTCTCAACGACAAGGCGTTTCTGACAGCTTGCTTGTCCTGGGCCAAGAGTAATTATTAGTTAATAATCATATATACAGTACTTATTTTTTTGTGTTAGGCATACGACTAGTACACAAGTTAATAAAATGGCAACAGGGCAAGCTAGAGAGCATAGCGATAGCGGGGATATCGTAATTGCCACATGATCGCTGTGAAAGCACGGCTATGCTTAATACAAAATAATAAGTACTTTATAAAGTCTATATCTTGACCTTGATATCGACCTAATTTCTCTTTCCAGCTATTTTTACCCACCATAGGACAAATAGAGATATATTATTTTGAGGTGAACTACTAGGCCAGAGTATGTACTTGTGCACATAAAATGCGATTTTTTTCCAAGCTGAAAGTCACCATTGGTGCATGCCACATAATGTCATATCATCACATACTTTGATTTTGATTACTATACGAGGCAAGAGAGAAGTCCGACACGCCTAACATTGGGCGCGGCCATTTTGAACCCTGTGACACAGTTTACAGATAAAGAATCAGATCGCTCACTCTGCGTCGGCACTTTGGATCTCAATGTTTCAGTTTATACACTGTGGAACTCGGATAATACAATATATGACAACCGCCTATAATAAAACAGCAGTCTTCTGCGTATCCTGAATTTGTATCCCTGGAGTGCATGTTATTTTGGAACTTTCAACTGGTCCGAGTGAGCTAACTGATTCTTTAGCAATAAACTGTGACTTCAAAAATAATATTTACTGACACTGACAGCAGCAAGCAAAATATCAGGTGCGTTTTAATCATCCGCTTCTGCTTCCGGAATTGTCGGTTTAGTCGTTTTAACCTGTCAGATTAAAACAAGAAAAGCGACAATTCCGAAGCAGAAGCGGATGATTAAAACGCACCTATTAAAAATATTGCGCCAAGATGTAGGCAACACGTAATAAGGGTTCAAAATGGCGGAGTTTTCTATCTCCTTTTTAAAGGCACTCAGAAAGCTGCGCAGTGCGACCATTCTCCGTATAGTAAAAGAAAATCAAAGTATGTGCATATCATAGATTGGTAACCGATGGAATGATTTATCCTAATAAAAAACGGCATTAATTCGTGTCATTTGTCATTTTTGGCAGGGCCGTTTTTTTATTGTTTATTATTCGAGTCGATCTAGCTTTGTGAGTTTTTTGTTTTATAAAAAATGGGCGATGATTTAATTGAAAATGTTGACGCACTTATTGCTTCGAAAAGTTTAAGCTATGAAGACTAGATATAAGGAGGCGAATCGGCCTTGGTCAAATTTCAAATTTCCGTCCCTATTTTTGTGGAGTTCCAAAAAACTACTGTAGTTGGCGGGTGGCAAAATAACGACGTCTATTTTCTATGCAAGTCAATGGGAATTAAAGTGATTTTTGTAAAATTTAGTGAAAAGAATAAAAATAAGCTAAAATAAAGAACCTGACTACAAGTAACAATAAGTAACAAAAAACGGAAAAGCAGGATTTCTTCGATTCGGGTTGAAAAATGGGATATAAATCCGATATAAAATTAAAGAAAACACAAGGAGATAAAAATCCAAGTCTTTTTAAAGCTCCTAATGTAAGTAAAATAATGTATTTATTTCTAAATAATATATATTTATTGTAAAATAGTCACAACCCGTATTTTACGGACTGTAGTTTATTTAATTACAAAATTTTATAATAAAAAATAATAAAGTCATAAATCCTGACTTACAAACAACAAAATTACACATTAAATTTAACTTACTAGAAAAGAAAATTTGCTTTTTTTATGTTTTTTGATTTTAGATGAAGAGTTACTACTGTTATTTTTCTTTATTGAACTTCAATTTAGTCATTGCAAATATTTTGTATAGGATCCTAAACGTTTAGAACAATGGCAGCATGTGATTCCTAGGGCTGATAAAGTACTGTCTAGTTATGATTCTGTTTGCGAGCTACACTTTTTAGAAGATGATATTTTAAAATTTGATGAGACTATTTTAACTAATGGTACTGCTAGCAAAATAAAAAGGGGACAGCTGAAATTAAATGATGAGGTAATATCATGTACATTCCCAAATCTCCCTTTATACTTGTATTACAACAATAAAAATCTGTTAACTGTGTTTTATTTTACTCTTAAAACTATATATTGGTTCAATTCAAAAAAAAAAAATTGCCATAAAATTGTACTTATCAAATTTCAGCAATTAAGAAACCTTTTCGAATTTGGTCATACATACCAAAATTGTATTTTATATAGATAAAATTAAATAATTTATCAATTAAAACATGCAAGACTTATTTAGAAATAAATACAACAGTATGTTATGTGCTTTATTTAGCTGTAAACAAGTTTATTTTTATTATTTTGACAAAATTATGTATAATTCCCATAAGAAGCCATGTATTTTGAACTACGTAAACCGTACCAGCGCCCATGTGGTTAATTATAAAAGCTCAATTGACGTGTGATTTTTGGGACCGTATTTTGAGCATGCCGATTCGCCTCCTTACCTCTAGTCTTCATAGTTTAAGCATATGGAAGAAATTAATTTAGACGTTAAGCTGTCATTTTTTACACGATCGACATTGGCCCATCACCTCAAAACATCGGTGGATAGATCTGTAGTTCTGGTGAACACAACGGTAATAAATCTAAAATCCATCCGAGAATTTATGAACGCATTTGGGGGAATAGTGTAGTCACCGGTGAATAAAAAACAGACCTAAAATCTCATATAAGTGTGTTCTGTAATATACCCTACCGGTCCAAACTTGACCATACCAGTAAAGGAATATAATATATTCCTTTACTCAGTGACCATACTTAGGGCCCTATTCAGTAATTTATCGTTTATGAACGACTTTTATAACGTTAATTTTTGAAACTCTATTCAATAACAAAGTCGTTACGTTGTTTCTAGTTACCAAATCTGAACGACGATTTCTAGTAAGTTGGTATTATAATTTAGTGTTTTGTGATAAAAGAACGTATGTTGATTATAGCGAGTGTTTAAATTAAAGTGTTACAGTTAAATACCGCCGAAAATATACATTTTATAAAAAAAAGTTTCAGACAAAAGTTTTATAGTTTTTTTGGGGGAAACATTTTGGCTAAATTAATTTTTTTATAGCTGACCATAATATGGCCATATCAAGGTGGATTTTTTTTTCAAATTGGAACCCTATTTTTTACATAGGTATTCTTAGAGTTCATAAAATAATAAGAAACTTCTAAAGGAAACATTTTTTTATTGGACTTCTACTTATTGAGTAACACTTACTTGAAAATTTTGCTGCGCGAAAAAAAAGTTGGCCATATTATGGTAAGCTATAAAAAAACCATTTCAGCCAAAATGTTTTCCCCAAAAACTATAAAACTTTCGTTTTTTTATAAAAGGCGGTATTTAACTGTGATACTTTAATTAAAATTCTGCCAGTAAATATATTCATTTGTTTTTCAGAATATATTAATTGTTAATTAACCTACAACACGATCAGGGGGTCGATTCTCGATTCGTAGGAATTCTGTTTCTCACGGGCCATTTTTGCTAGTCGTATTGTATGTAGGGTTTATTTAAATGAGTATGGATATATATTAAAAAAACTAAGAACTATTCCAAAATAATACAAAAAACAACTCGAGAACAGTACAAGTTGTATTTATTGGATTTGAAAGACAGAAACCAAATTTGATACTATATCAATCCTGCTTCCTGATTATCTTTTCTGTTGATGTCATCGGCTTTTACAACTCAGGCCATTAGCCTTGTTTTCTGTGTAGGTTACGGAGAAGTATTATTATAATAGGTTTTGTTACTATTTCGCAGTGCTACTTTAAGAACAGCACTGTTAATAAGAATCGATTAGTAAATGGTCGAATGGGCAATCCTAACTTTGAAACAGATTGTACTTGCTGTATTAGGTAGATGGCAATTTAGTCGTAAAATTTGTAAAAAAGTGCTTTTATTATTTAGAACACATCCTGGTTCACAATGAAAAATGAGAGGGAATGGAAAAATTACTATAACGACACTTCATATTATTAACGACAGCTCTGTGGCTATCGTTGATGAACGACAATTTTACAACCATATTTGTCTATTTTCAACGACAATCGTTGTCTACTGAATAAGAAAAGTCGTATGTGAACGATTATCGTCTATTAACGACGTCGTTCAGAGTTACTGAATGCTGGTGGCAAGGGCAACGGTGTATTCTAAAGAATACACCTGGCGCTGAGAATGTTAAAAATGCTTTGTGAATACGATGTTAATAAATGAATTGTAGTCAGTATTATTGTATTACATTTTGTATTAAATTGTTCGTTGTATTAACTGGATTTTGTAATATTTTTTATTTGTGTATTAATTTTTAATATGACTATTTTAAATAATTTCATATTATTGTATTAAAATAGTAAAACCAAAAAAATAAATAAATTAATAAACGAACGAACAGAAACAAATAAATTTGGCCTATGAAAATAAATACTTACATTCATCAAAAAATCCGTAAATTTTACACACTTGCGAAGCTTCGTGATTTCCTCTGAGAAGAAAGAAATTTTCTGGGTATTTTATTTTATAGGCTAATAATAAGCAAATTACTTCCACCGATTGCTTTCCTCTGTCGACATAATCTCCAAGAAATAAATAGTTTGAATCCGGTGGGAAGCCCCCAAATCCAAAAAGACTTAGTAAATCGTGGAACTGACCATGTATGTCACCTAAAATATCGATATAAAAAAATAGTATATCAATGTTATTATAATCTTCACATGATAGTCTGTGAAGAGTATTATGCATTCGCTTCGTCCGTCCGTCCAATGTCACGTTTTTTTGTCCGCGCGATAAGTTAAAAAAGAAAAATTTCTGGAAAAATCAATCTAGATAAGGGGACCAAGCCTATTGATTTCGAAAAAAAATCTGAAAAAAAAAATGGGAGTTAAGGAGAGTCGAAACATTAAAAAAATTGCTCAAAAACGAAAAATGATATCAATTTGAAATTTTTAGCAAAGATCAAGCTTTATAAGGGGATGAAGTCTATTGATTCTAAAAAAATTAAATTAAAATAGGGGTTGAGGGGGTTGAAATATTGAAAAACATCCTAACTCAGAAACAGAAAACGATATCAAATTGAAATCTTCAGGAAAAATCAAGCTTTATGAGGGTATGAAGCCAATTTATTCTGAACAAAATCTGAATAAAAATAATTGGTTAAGGGGGGGTTGAAATATTTAAAAAAAATCCTAACTCAAATACAAAAAAATGATATCGACTTGAAATTTTTAGCAAAAAATAAGCTCTATAAGGGAACGAAGCCTACTGATTTTGAAAAAGATCTAAATAAAAATGGTGGAGTTAAGGGGGGGTTGAAATATCATATTAAGTTGAAGTTTTTAGCAAAAAACATGCTCTATATGGGGACAAAGTAAAAAAATCTGATTAAAAATGGGAATGAAGCCTATTGATTTAAAAAAAGATAAAGAAAAATGGGGGACAAGGGGGGTTAAAACATTGAAAAGAATCCTAACTCAGTAACTAAAAATGGGGGGTTTAAGGAGGGGTTAAAATTTAAAAATCATAAATCAAAAATAAAAAAGCGATATCAACATGAAATATTAATTTAAAATCAAGCTCTCTACAAGGGAATGAAGCCTATTGATTCTGAAAAAAAATCTAAGATAAAATGGGGGCATAAGGGGAGTGGAAATATTTAAAAAAATATATGGAAAAATCAAGCCCTATAAGAGGACGAAGCCTATTGATTTTGAAAAAAAAAACTGAAAAAAAATTGGGGTTACGGGGAGTTGAAACATTAAAAAAATTCCTAACTCAAAAACGAAAAATGATATCAACTTGAAATGTTTAGCAAAGATCAAGCTCTATAAGCCTATAGATTCTGAAATTAAATCTAAGATAAAATAGGGGCATAAGGGGGTTAAAATATTTAAAAAAAAATATATGAAAAATCAAGCTCTATGAGGGGACGAAGCCTATTGCTTTTGAAAAAAAAAACTAAAAAAAATTGGGGTTACGGGGAGTTGAAACATTAAAAAATTCCTAACTCAAAAACGAAAAATAATATCATCTTGAAATGTTTAGCAAAGATCAAGCTCTATAAGGGTATGATGCTTATTGATTCTGAAAAAATTTAAATTAAAATAGGGGTTGAGGAACTATTGAAAAAAATCCTACCTCAAAAACGAAAAATGATATCAACTTGAAATATTTGGCAAAAATCAAGCTCTATAAGGGGACAAAACAATTGATTTAAAAAAAATGTAAACAAACTGGGGAGGGGGTTAAGGAGGGCTGACATAAAAAATATAAATCAAACACCAAAAACGATATCAACATGAACTTTTTGGTAAAAATCAAGCTCTATAGGGGAATAAGGGCTATTAATTCTAAAAAAATCTAAATCAAAATTGCTGGATAAGGGGGGTTGAAATATTGAAAAAAATGCTAACTTAGAAATAAATAAACGATATCAAATTGAAATCTTCAGGAAAAGGGGATGAAGCGTATTGATTCTGAAAAAAATTTGAATGAAGATGGGGTTAAGAGTGGTCTATTAAGTCTGTTCGGGTTCTTCAAAAATACATTTAGAACTATCAGATAACTAATTGACCAGTGGACAGTTTAATAGTTGTACGCGACGAATAATTTGGAATTCAACAGTTCCGCGTTCTTGGACGGTTTGCATCGAGTTTTAAAAAACCCAAACAAACCCTGTGAAAGGTATCATATAAAATGCCAAGCATTATATATTTTCTTTCTAGTTTAATCATAAGTTTTACAATTACTTAGTTAAAATATGTATATACTAAGTATTGCGTTAATAAATAATATACGAGTAGTTCTGTAAACTTACCGCAAACTTTTATGGGTGCTTCTAGCTCCAAAAGCATTGGTTGAGACATAAAAATGTTAATCGCATTAAAACATAATGCCTTTACGTCTGATTCAGATATAGTTATATATTTTGTCTTTTTGCTCTCTCGAACTGAAATAAAGGTAATATATTCATTAATGTAACTTTTTTTAAATTGTTTTTAAAAAGTTTTAAAATATATTTGTAAATTTATTTGCAAAGAAATTTTAAAGGCTAGGTGTGTTCATTTATAGGTATACTACATTTTATATAGGTACTTCCACTTCATGTAAGGTTAAAGATATGATAATAAACAACATATTTGTAAATAAAATAATAAAAGAAATATGTATGAATTTCATTAAAATGTTAAACTACAATCAATTTACTTACCCTCTTTTGAGGTCAGCTTTATAATAATTTTATCCACATTCAGATTTGAGGCCATTTTGATTTGACACGATTGACAATAATAAAAAATTGCAAAATGTGATCACAGTAATACTAAATTACTAACTTTGATAAGATAAAAATGATAATATTACCAATGATTTTCAACAATCGTAACAAAAATATAGGCGAACAAATAATCTTTATCTATCGAATTAATAATCCATGTGTACCGATCAGAAACATATTAATTTTGATTGTGATTATGTACATTTGGTTTTGTCTTTCGATATAGTTTGTCGTTCTAATAAGCACAATTTGTAGAACAGACGTCCAAAGTCAGTGATAATTAAATAGGTCAATACAAAAAAATGAAAAATAAAAATATTTACTCTTTTGATTTAATGAAAGAAGGAACTTTTAACAATGCATTAATAAGGAGACTTGTAGAGCGTTGTAATAAAAATAAATCGTTAGAATTTAAGAAATTTCGGAAAAAACTTTTATTTTTCGATATTATTTTTAAAATGAAGGGTACAGGCTAAGAAGGGGTAAAGTAATTTTTTTTTAAATATTTTTGATTTTAATGCCAGTCGGTAGCGTATAAAAATCTCTGGCCTAGTAACATAAACGAGGCCAAAAATGTGAATAGACGTGAGATATTGTAGGTTAAAGTTTTGCTGTACATGCTAATAACTAATAACTTTAAAATAGCTTTACTGAAAATTTACTTATTTTGACATTTCCTCTTTTTAGTCTGTAACATTAAATAAAAACTTAAAATAAGCACATCGGCTGGATAGACCAATGCGTTAATGATAAGTAGGTATTTAGATACCGGCATTTAGTCGAGAGGTGGTTCCAATCCCACAACCCACAACAGACCATTTGAATTTTTCTTTAATTTAATGGTCGGCGTAATAAAAGTAATTTAATTTTTTTTATATTATATCCAGATTTTAATGTTAGTGGGCTGTCGCGTCGATTATGGTAGATGGGGTTTTCCCGAGTTTCCTTCAGCTAAACAGCACCAATCATCTGTAAGTTGCTCCAGGCCGCCATAGATCCATAAAGTTTCACACATAAAGTTAAATAAACCAAGAATTTACTCATACCCCTACTGCATATTCGCTTGATTTCCCGCCTTGTTACTTTTGCCTCTTCCCTGAAGTCAAAATGACCATGAACTGAAAAATGTATGACACTCAAATACCTAGCTATTTTTTCGTTTCGCAATATTGGTTCACCCAGCACATCCAACATGATGCCTGTGTCTAATCACCTAATCAGTAATCATTAAAAACAAAATTAATTTCATAAAAAAAACTGATAGCCGATTTTTTTTTGTATAACAATGTAAAATGTGTAATAAATGTTTTCGGTATACATACACTATGTCCCAGAATGGACGACCCAATTTTTTGAGTTGGACGATCATTTTGTGGGTTCAGCCTAACTTAATGTAAAACTTATACACCCAAATGAAATTAAGTGAAAGTGAAATAAGAAAAATCGATAGAGATTCGAAAAATTGAAATAAAATTTTTGGAAACTTGAAAATGTATAATCTCCAATTCCTCTTACGCAATTATGAAAAATACACTCCCATATCCTCAAAGATAAATTGAAAAAAACTAAGAATTAAAGAGTGAAAAAATGAGTACATCTATCAGGGGTCGAACCTGGAACAAGTGGCGGCTCTTGACCAAAAAATTTGGGGTTTACAATGAGATTGAGAATGAGATAGGTTTTAGTACAGATTTAGGTAAAACAATTTCAGTATTTTGGAAAGGTATATTATAAACACTGAAAGTTTTTTTATATAAATCTGTACTGAGATCTATATTATGTCATTATGAACCCCCAATTTTTTGGTGACAGCCGCCACTGCCTTAAACCTTAGGACTGTATTCTTCCATGCTCTTACCAGTTGAGGTATCGAAACACATGACTTCGACATCCAAATTCGTATATTTGTATTCAAAAATATTTTGATTCTCGTCGGCACACACAAATTCTAACCCCATCCCAGCTCTCTCAATTATTCTTAAAGCCACCCTTGTGACATCGTGTAAAGAATTGAGCCAGCTGGGATGGGTTTAGAATTTGTGTGTCCCGACGAGAGTTGGAATCTGACATCAAATCTATGAGTTCAAATGTCGAAGTCAAGTGTTTGGAAAGCTCAACTGGTAAGAGCATTAATGGCTACAGTCTGAAGGTTCCAGGTTCGTGCCCTGGACGATATTCTGTTTTTTTTTAATTCTGAGCTTTTCAATTTTTCACTTTGAGGATATGTGGGGTGTATTTTCGCACTTCCAAAAAGTACAATTCAGTTTTTAGGATCTCAACCGATTTTTCTCACCTTCAGTTTCTTTCATTTCATTTCACGTTTACGACGAACCGTACTCGAAAACTTAACACTAGTGCACAAATGAAGGATCTTAGAAATGTATTCTAGTAATATCTTAGATTGTCGTTCTTCTACACGATATCACAAGGAAGACTTTAAAAATAATTGAGAGAGCTTAGATGGAATTAGAATTTGTGTGTGCCGACGAGAGTTGGAATCTAATTAACATGAAATCTACGAGTTCAGATGTCGAAAACATGTGTTTAGGTAGCTCAACTGGTAAGAGCGAGGACGGCTACAGTCTGAAGCTTCCAGTTTCCATCCCCAAGAGAGCTAAAGTATCTAGGGTTGGTCCTAGACGATATAGGCAGCTTCGGTAAACACATCGAAATGACCGCAAACAAAGCAGAGGCAAGAGCGGTATCTCTCTTTAGGATGAGAAATTTCAGAGGCCCTCAAAGTAGGAAACGAGAGCTGCTGAGCGGAGTGGTACACTCCCTATTACGGTATGGATCACCCGTATGGAGACAAGGAATAAATGTAGTAACATACCGGAAAAGGATGGAGAAGGTCAGCACCTATCGAACTACTTCATTAAATGCAATTCAGGTCATCACAGGTACGATACCAATCCACCTGCAGTTATCCGAAAGACAAAGAGTCTACAGAATGGTCAACGGTAGAGAGGTAAAGGACATGGAGCGAGAGGTTACCCTAACTAGGAGGCAGAACGAATGACGCGATACCACAGATAAAACTCAGTAGACAAAGGCCATATTTAGAGATGTGGTAAGTTTGTATAAATGGCAGCATAGACTTCTGGACTATCATATTATACAAATTTTAACATGACGAATACGAAAAAAAATTACAAGAGCCTAATGTATGTGCCCATGCACACACGATCTTCCACTGCAACCGCTGGGTGATAGATAGGCAAAGAATGTGGTGTACTATAGGAGCGATCTTAAATGAGAACAGCCTCTGGGAGAGACCATGATTTTGGAGAAGGGTACACGGGAGGCTTTCGGAAAGATTGCAAAGAAAATTCTACACAAGAAGGAGGAAGAGGAAATAATAAGACAAGCAAAATAATAAAGGACATAAACGGCTGAGAAAATTTTGAAAATCACTTAGTATTCCGAAGAATGTCCCAGAAAGACGAGGCCGGGATGCTGAGGTTAAAGACGAGGGATTTTAGTGGGTAGGCCGGCACTGCACCCAAAAGCGATTAAACCAAGCATCTGGGTCCACAAGGATTTACACTTCATAAAAAAAAGGTGCGATTCATTCATTTTTCCTTTCAACTTTTTTAATTTTTCTTTGATTTGTTTTCACTTTGGTGATATGGGGGTGTATTTTCCATAGTTTCGTAAGAGGATTTGGGTATTATTTATTTTCATGTTTCCAAAATGATGTTTTTTGTATCTCAATAAATGTACACCAACAGGCGCGTATAATCTGGGACACAGTGTATAAATCAGTAGTCAAAATACAAAGAAATTTATTTTTGAAGTACCTATTTGTGCAATGTAATAAAATAGCGTATTTTATCGCAGGAAATGTTTAAATATCAAGCTATTTTTATCCGTCTTTAAAGCACTTAAATAATTACATTTTAATTAGTTACAAAAATAAGATATTCTGTTCTGATTAGAAACTATAATCGATATTATTCAATGTACAGTTGACGAAACCGAAATGTGAACGCTAAAATGAAATGGTGTGTTTTAGACTTTACAACATAGTCTTTCTTCGCATTCAAATTTGTCAAATAAATTTAAAAAAATTGAAACTCCAAAGTCGAAGGCTACTCGTTCAGTGCGAAGTAAAGAGGTTAGAAAGGGTAGTGGTAATATCAGAGATAACAGAGATATAATCATTCATTGATAAAATATAATATTCACGATGCCAAGATTAATTCGACAATCGATACACTCTATTTGTAGGGACGGGGCGAAGCGACGAAAGGTGAGAAGTAAGAGAAGGGATAAAGAGAAGAAATTTTACGCAGATGCAACTTATTTTTATCAATGAATAAATGTGTAAGAAGCTGTGCGTTTATAATAAACAACGTAAATATCTATGCCGGTGTAAGCCCTGTTGCCACTTCCAACCTAACATCACTAGATTTTGGAATTTATTGAAAATTATTACATCTAATTTAGTGAAATTACATCTAATTTAGTTAAATTTAATATAACTAATGATTCAAAATTTTTTGGGTTCAGTTGCAATAAAATAGGTTGAATTATTTTGGCTTTTTTAATATATGTAAACAAAATGAGAATGATGAAATAGGCATATGACAACAGCGGATATTAAACCCGCCTGTGTCCCTTAGAATATGTCTTATTCAGGACCGCACGATATTTGTTAGTAGTTACATCTCCTCGTTATCTCTGGGTAATATAGGAAGCAATTGCACTAGCGTCTACGTCCCACTAGTCAACTCGGGCACCCGACAATGTTGCCGCTTATCGGTTCATCGGTTGTCTTGTCAGTTGTCAACCAACTTTGATTATTAAGTTTATTTACTTAATAGTAAAAAAAGTCGAGCCTCCAAAAAGCTTTTAAAACCATCAGAATCCGAAAAAAATGAAATAGCTTTTAACTTGTTATTATAAAAATGATTTAAAAAATAAAGAACACAGCTGGTGCAAAAATATGAAATTTATAAATAACAATACTTTGACATATCTCAGAGCAAACTAAGGCTTTTCGTTTTTTTTTTGCCGTGGATACTTGGCAATTTTCGT